TCCCTGAAGCCAGAAATTTTTGGAAAATTCTGGCTTTGTGAATAATTTTCCGAGCAAATTTCAACTCCAGCTATCGGAGATTTCCGGGTTTGAAGAATTCCGGCTAACGGAGATATTACTGTATTCATCTCCTTCCATTCAATTCCAGTCATAACATATGTCATTCTTTATTATATGCACAATGGTTTTAACAAATTGTCTATACGTATTTCATTTTCTTCACATCATTGTAAATAGTCTAGTAAAATTGCTCGGTACATTTTATTGACAGGTTTGAAAAATGTGATCGTAACTAAATTAATATATATAATGCTAGATCTATCACTGAACATTTACAGGGCCATACACTCAAAATTTTGAACTTTGGAGAACATTGTGGAGTTTTCCATGATGTACCAGAGTTTGTTTTCAAATACTCTACCTGTACAGTGTACTGTATACTTGATTTGTCAATATTGTTCAAGTCAATACAAAATGTAGTGTAAATAACCATACAGTATATACTGTACATGTTCTGTACTTTTCAAAATAAAACTGTCCAAGGAAAGTGAACTACAACTGCATTTAGGCATGATATATTGTACTTATACTACTGCACATCTCCTACTGTAGTTTTGGGTAGTTTGAAAACAAGCAGAAGAGGTACTGAGGTGTATCAAAATTTGCTATGAAAATCTTCTTTGGCCCATACTTCCAACACTGGATGTGGCCTGTGTGACTTAAATCATTGCAGCCTGAGTTGGAATGGTGTCACACATTAACAATCTGCCCCTAGATTTTATCAGAAATCAGCCAGAGACTGAGTGACTCTCACTCATGGATCATGGTAATTATTCTGTCCCTAAGTAAAAACAATAAATGAGATATATTTGAGACAAAGTATTCACCCACTCTTCAGGGAAAGCATGGGTGAAAATTTTGCTTGTCAATCAGATCATACCTGGTCAGTCATATCATAGCTAGTCAATTTGAGGTGGCAATCTGCAGTGTAATGGTCAGCATGCTCGCCTCGCAAGCGAGCGGACCCGGGTTCGATCCCCAGGCAGGGTGAAACTATGGGCAAGTTTCTTTATGCCAATTGCCTCTGTCTACCCAGCAGTAATTGGGAACCTGGATGTTAATCAATTACAGCAGACTTGCAACTTATGCGAGGGATACGTTCCTGGGACTTAGAGTAAAACCAAAAAATGCGTAGTCAGAAACACTCCTAAAAATCCCCTAAATCACCCTTAAATCACTATATATATATATATATATATATATATATATATATATATATATATATATATATATATATATATATATATACATATATATATATATATATATATATATATATATATATATATATATATATACTGTACATACATATACACTAGAATTCATAAATCACTACTATAATGTGATACAGGAAGATTAATTTTTATCTCTTGTGCAAAATATAAGACGTTTATATTCAAATTATTCGCTGTCTTGCAAGGCTTCCAGCAATGCAAATTATATTCTCCTAACTTTAGTCTGTGATATTATATACCGGGTAATATAAAAACTGTAAGCCTAAACCACCAAACCCTGGCTGGGAGGGAGGGTGGGGGGGAGGGAGGGAGGAAGGAAGGGGAGGTGACAGTGACATGTTTGACAGTTGGCACCGAAGGTCTAGTGAAGTATTTATTTGTTTATTTATGTCCTTTAGATTGAGTTTTTGTTTTTCTCTTATAAAATGTCACTGAACTGACCGGAGAGAATATAATTTACATTGCTGGAATTCTTATAACATAGTGATTAATTTGAATAGAAACATGCAATAGTTTGCACTAGACAAAAATTTTAGTAATCATTTAGTACATTATTTTGAGTACATGTACAGTACAGCTTTGCCCTTAGGACAGTGTGTGCATGTAAATGAGTTTCAATAAATGAATAAAGTTACATATATTGAGCCAAAAATAATAGTTGAAAAACTTATGTAGACAGAGCTGTGTTGTTGTTTTGAGATTATTGATCCCCTTCCAAACGTAACAGTGGGGGGAGGATGTAGGCAGCTCAAGGTCACTGTGAGAAGTTGAGGGCATTGGCTGATCTGCTGACGATATCGATGCTGAGGTTTTCTTAAAGAACATGGTGATGGGAAGCTGTCGTTGTTGTTTCTTAAGCTGCCGGAACATATTCTTATACAGAGCCATAACGCTTGTAAGACCTAGTGCAAAATTGATGCTGCGCTCCATAGAGGGGTCATACTCAGACACTAAGTTTTTCAAGTGGTCGGCCACCTGAAACACTTCACTAAATTTGTGTATATCCCAACATGCTGGCGCTTCTTGTTCTTCATCATCGCCGTCGTCTTCTTCGTCCGCTCTCACTAGTGCCGCCAACTCACCATCAGTCAGAGTTTCCCTGTGCCCTTCAATTATCTCCTCGATTTTCTACCAGTCCAATAATATCATGGGTCAATAATATCATGCCGGGTCAATAATATCATACCTGGTCAATAATATCATACCTGGTCAATAATATCATACCTGGTCAATAATATCATACCTGGTCAATAATATCATACCTGGTCAATAATATCATACCTGGTCAATAATATCATACCTGGTCAATAATATCATACCTGGTCAATAATATCATACCTGGTCAATAATATCATACCTGGTTAATAATATCATACCTGGTCAATAATATCATACCTGGTCAATAATATCATACCTGGTCAATAATATCATACCTGGTCAGTCATGTCATACCTGGTTAATAATATCATACCTGGTCAATAATATCATACCTGGTCAATAATATCATACCTGGTCAATAATATCATACCTGGTCAGTCATGTCATTCCTGGTCAATAATATCATACCTGGTCAGTCATGTCATACCTGGTCAATAATATCATACCTGGCCAATAATATCATACCTGGTCAATAATATCATACCTGGTCAGTCATGTCATACCTGGCCAATAATATCATACCTGGTCAATAATATCATACCTGGCCAATAATATCATACCTGGTCAATAATATCATACCTGGTCAATAATATCATACCTGGTCAATAATATCATACCTGGTCAATCATGTCATACCTGGTCAATAATATCATACCTGGTCAATAATATCATACCTGGTCAATAATATCATACCTGGTCAATAATATCATACCTGGTCAGTCATGTCATCGTGGTCAATAATATATCATACAATTAATATATCATACCTAGTCAATAATATCATACACAATTAATAATATCATACGGGTCAATAATATCATGCGGGTCAATAATATCATACCTGATCAATAATATCATACCTGGTCAATAATATCATACCTGGTCAATAATATATCATACCTGGTCAATAATATCATACCGGGTCAATAATATCATACCCGGGTCAATAATATCATACCTGGTCATGTCTCATGCCTGGTCAATAATATCATACCTGGTCAATATCATACCTGGTCAATAATATCATACCTGGTCAATAATATCATACCTGGTCAATAATATCATACCTGGTCAATAATATCATACCTGGTCAATAATATCATACCTGGTCAGTAATGTCATACCTGGTCAATAATATCATACCTGGTCAATAATATCATACCTGGTCAATAATATCATACCTGGTCAATAATATCATACCTGGTCAATAATATCATACCTGGTCAATAATATCATACCTGGCCAATAATATCATACCTGGTCAATAATATCATACCTGGTCAGTCATGTCATACCTGGTCAATAATATCATACCTGGTCAATAATATCATACCTGGTCAATAATATCATACCTGGTCAATAATATCATGCCTGGTCAGTCATGTCATACCTGGTCAATAATATCATACCTGGTCAATAATATCATACACAGTCAATAATATCACTTACACAATTCGTAATATCATACCTGGTCAATAATATCATACCTGGTCAATAATATCATACCTGGTCAGCCAATATATCGCCTGGTCAATAATATCATACCTGGTCAATAATATCGCCACTGGCCAATAATAATACCTGGTCAATAATATCATACCTGGTCAATAATATCATACCTGGTCAATAATATCATACCTGGTCAATAATATCATACCTATTCAATAATAACCATACCTGGTCAATAATATCATACCTGGTCAGTCGTATATACCTGGTCAATAATATCATACCAATAATATCATACCTGGTCAATAATATCATACCTGTTCGTAATATCATACCTGGTCAATAATATCATACCCTGGTCAATAATATCATGCGGGTCAATAATATCATACCCGGGTCAATAATAATATCATGCGGGTCAATAATATCATACCGGGTCAATAATATCATACCTGGTCAATAATATCATACCTGGTCAATAATATATCATACCTGTGGTCAATAATATCACCTGGTCAATAATATCATACCGTCCAATAATATCATACCCGGGTCAATAATATCATACCTAGTCAATAATAATATATACCGGGTCAATAATATCATCGGGTCAATAATATCATACCTGGTCAATAATATCATACCTGGTCAATACTCATACCTGGTCAATAATATCATACCTGGTCAATAATATCATACCTGGTCAATAATATCATACCTGGTCAATAATATCATACCTGGTCAATAATATCATACCTGGTCAATAATATCATACCTGGTCAATAATATCATACCTGGTCAATAATATCATACCTGGTCAATAATATCATACCTGGTCAATAATATCATACCTGGTCAATAATATCATACCTGGTCAATAATATCATACCTGGCCAATAATATCATACCTGGTCAATAATATCATACCTGGTCAATAATATCATACCTGGTTAATCATATCATACCGGGTCAATAATATCATACCTGGTCAATAATATCATACCGGGTCAATAATATCATACCGGGTCAATAATATCATACCTGGTCAATAATATCATACCTGGTCAATAATATCATACCTGGTCAATAATATCATACCTGAATAATCTGAAGAGCAGTGTGTCTAGGCGTGTCTCGGTGAGGCGTGTGCAGGAATGGATTGGTTGGTGCTAATTCCCCACTTTCACTATAAACACAAGCTTCACTTAATCCTGCAAGAAAAAATTAAAATAAAACAAAAACACCAATACTTGATACTGTGGTTCCTTTACTTACTGGATAATAACAAGCACAGTTCTAAGTGCCACTGTATCATATAACTTACTAAATTATGAAGCCTCATTACACTGCTGGGGAGAGTTACTCATACCATAGAGATCCAGCACTGAATGTATCAGAGGAACCTAACCAGCTGCTGTGACAAACAATGATTCTGTGGCAGGTATGCGTTATCTTAGAAGAACAACCCTTAATAGGGATTCTCTGCAAATATGGATTTATCAGATTTAGGTTTTGTAAATCTCCGAGACTCTAATTTGTTATTTTTTGCTGATTTATGATGATTTAAAAATGCATTAAGTCTGAGAGTTTTATCCAATTAAAAGCATGGCCCTTGTTAGCACAAAGGCAGGCATTACTTGTTAATTTTTCTTTCTTAGCCCAGTCACTATACAGTCTCTTATGTCAAAAGTGCATATCATATTCCTCATGTTGTCCTCCCCATTACCTCCCATTGAGGGATATCGGATGCAAAAGCAGCCTTGAGAAGCAGAGGGCCCTCTAGAGTTGAGTTTATCCAACCATCACTCATTATGCTCAGGAGGGGTACGAGACTAATACCAAGGCTGGTTCTGGCCACTGATGTAAGGTCTCCTGGGTTTAAACCAATAGATTATGAGTGCATTTCACAAGATGCTCAGTGATAGGCACCTGCCACTTGGCCACAAAACAGATTACCTAAGTTCAATCCTTCATCTTTTATGATGGCATACTGCTGTAACTACAGTATTACAACTTATGCATCTAAAGTACTGTATCACAACAAATTTGATTACAATCCACAAACCAATAAATACTATTTGATCTCTTTCACTCTACTCGTACATCTTTCATCTGTTATGTCCTGTACTGTATGCATAATATTTTCTGACATTCTCTTTTTGTGACACCAAATTTTCCCCAGCCTTATATGTCTTCTGTTTTCTATTAACACACATCTTTAATAACAACTTACACCTTATTGTTACACATACTGTACATTTTTTGGGTCCTGATCCTTCTGGACATTCTCTTACCAAATAGAGATTGGTGTAGAATTTCTAGGATGTTCTGTACATATTTCATCTCCTAAAAGTGTTAAAGATATAAATATACAGAAGACTCTTGAAATTTACTCAGGAAATTCCAATCGCAGTTTAGATTTCACACAGGTTAAACATTAATTCTTTGCTTGTCCCGAGAAACAAGAACTTGCAGGAAGGATGAAGTTCTCCTGTGAGTAATAATGAGTCAGGAAATAAAGGAAGGAGGCAGGGAAAAACAAAAGGAAAAAATGATAACGAAAATGATATATACAGTACAGCGAGAAAATGTATGTTTATGATACAAAAGAAGTAATGAATCACTCACGGGTACTAAGTGTGATACTGGCGAAAGAAATGAACATCAGAGGGAGAAAGAAGGCTTATCTTTTATGATATTCACATGTCTAATTTGCCTATACAGTAAGTCCGCGCTTAACGTCATCCCGCTTAACGTTGTTTTGGTATTACGTCGCTAAACTTTAGAGATAAAAAATTTGTTTAACAGCCGTGATCCGATACTACGTCGTTTCGTGTTGTCACAGACTACTTTCTACGGCGCACCACCCTCTCTCGTCTGGCCGTGCTACATTCTCTCAGCTCGGCGCAGAGTCTCAGTGACTCACCACCCTCCTTCCCACCCTTCTCCTCCAATCCCACCCTCCTCCACCGCTCCTGCCATACTCCTCCCCTCCTGCCATCCGCCTCCTCCGCTTCACTACCCACCACACACTCACTCTACCACCTCCGCCCATCGGTGAGTACCAATACAAACTTAGTAGTTGTATATGTATACATTATTTTCTATAGAAATGGCAATGATTTTCTATATATATATAATGTGTTTCATGGGGCAAAGGGAGGCTCAGGAACGTAACTCCTGTATTTTATCTATTTCTAATGGGGAAAATTGATCCGCTTTACGTTGTTTCGTAGAACGTCGCATTTTCAGGAACGTGACCCTGACGGTAAGCGAGGACTTACTGTATATCTTATCCTCAATTACCTCTCTAATGGTGCAAGGCACACTTAATATTAATTAGGAATCATAAAATAATTAACCATGCAAGGTTATTGTGATTAAAGCGGCGTACCTCGCAACACAATGACTCTGATGGGAACACGAAGAAGCTTGGTTGGTGATCCTAGCCTCTGAGTACCAATGGTAATCTTGTAGGCATACTTCAGCAGCTGACCACGATAAGTTGGAGGAGCATCACATGGAAGTATCTCTCTGTATACAACTGTTGAAACAATAATGATTAGAAAGGAAGGATCAATCCTAAAATTCCATTTTATGGCTAAGTCTGGAATTAAGCTGCTTGAGTATAAACACACCAAGCTTTTGGTCTAAACATAAACAAAAAACTTACTTATCTTTATTTTATGATTAAGGGGAAGAAATACGTGATCTACAAGATCCATACAAGGTGCTAGAAAAACACCTCCAGGCAGAACCTGTCTTTGCCCGAGACCATGATGTATTTAGTAGCAGGATACACCATCTGGCCAGACAACATTTTTGCTGCAAATAGTTCCTTATCCAGTTGTATCAGGTGTTTCAGAGCCAAAAGGCTTCACATCAGGGGTCAAAACTCTCATAAAGGCTCATGAATTTCAAATCAATTTTGGTCATAAAAAGGACATACATTACCTGTACTTTAACCCTCCCAGCTCTCTCTCTCATCTTAACTAGACAAGAGGAAGAGAAGCCAGCTCACTTGTTTTTTTCCCCTCAGTCATATACCAGTTCTTAAAATTTTAATTCTTCATGACCTACAGGCCATCAACACATAACTCAAGATTCTAAACAGCTCAGAAGGAGATTATGTCACAAGAACATACTAATAACATTCCAGTAGGAGCCACATCTACAAAGAATTAACTACTTCTACATTAACCTTGCAAGCACATTATAGCCACACAATCAGAGTAAAGGACTTTTTGTACATAAAATCCCATTTTCTAGTTGAGCCCATTGCCAGATGGCTTTTGTAATACACTATACCCTCATTAATTCGACAAAAAATGGGCTCTGGGTGACTCAAATTACCGAAAAATACGAATTAACTGAGTTCGGAATATTTCAACATTATTCAACAATTTCCAAATTTTTTTATTCAATTATTTGCTAATTTTCTGTTCAGTTTTTGCACCTTGCCTTGGCTGCCACATAAAATAATCTATTTATAATTACAGTGCAAACATAAATATTTTTACTGTACAGTCCTGCAAGAAGAATATTGATACAGTCAAGGTGGAGTGTGTAAAGTCAGCCCCACCCTTATGGGACAGCGGATCGTTGTCAGTGATGCCACTCGTGAAAAAACAAAGTTTACCACATTCGTGTGTGTAAATTTTTCCAGATCGCAAAACAAAATTTTGCGGTATGAGAAAATTATATCTAATTACAATTATTTTATTTATAATCAATATAATTCTAGAAAATGTAAAAAATTTATAAAGCATACATAAATATAATTGATAATCAAATGAAATTAGACACTCAGTATTCTGCATTAAAAAAGAAAAAAATCTATTCATTGGACGATTTGGGATGAGACTAAACTTAAGTTCTGTCTGAGTAAATCAAAGCAGAAATTTTACTTAATATTAAAACAAGTAGACTTGTTGTACTGTAGTACAGTAATTTGTCATACAACGCTTGAGACAATTATAAAACCAGTTCAGTGTTATTGTTTAAGTGACCAGGGTGAGTGGAGGGAGGGAGGGAGGGCAGGTGTGTGACTCAGCCTGTGCCCTGACAGATATGTCACTGGTCTAGAAAATATGACTTACCGGGTATTTCAGAGAGGACAGACATTTTAACTTTCTTTATTTGACCCAGCAAAATAAAATAAGAGAGATTCCAGTTGTTTAGGTGTGCAAAATTGCCAATTCATGGGCTCAGAGGTGCCAAATTACTTACCAAATTACTAAGCATATTAAGTGTCAAAAGAAGATTGTTATATCTAAGTTAACTATGACTTAAATATAAAAAGAGAAATTAATACAAAACAAAAATACTTATAGAATACTTCAATGTTTGGAAGGTTTTAAAAATATTCTTTCAAACATTCAAGGTTGGGGTAAAATTTTCAAGATCTAGCAACAAATTACAAGTAGTGGCCCCATTGGTTGCTGTCCAGCCACCACCCTCAACACACAGCAAGCATCCAAGCAGTACCACAATCAAGCTCTTATACTTCCATTTCTCAATAAAAACTAGGAAAGAATGTCACGGCTTTGTTTAATAAATTTATGAAACATTTTATCCAATCAAGTTTTATATTAAATGACATTACAAGACCATCCATGCTGGACAGGTTCCAGGCCATCATTGAAGAGCAGGGCAGTTGGACTGGCTACCAAATGAATAATTTTGGTGACCATATGTGTCATGCATAATTTCTATAATCTAAAGAATAGATTATTTCAATTATTATTTTACCTATTTTTTAACTGTAAATATTTAAAAAGATATTGAGTGTGTATAACATTAGCTAGGCAGCATTTATGGTTACCTATACTAGTACAGAACAAAGTTAAGAAGAAAACACCAGAAATTCAAGATGTTGGTTGGGTCAAATGATGAGCAGGACAGGAGGATGTATGCAAGAGCCAGAAACCAAGCAAAGATAGAATGTAGAAGGGCTGAAAAGGAGTTCCAGAGGCTGGTTGCAAGCGAGGTCAAGTCAAACCCAAAGGCGTTTTACCGCTATGCAAAGTCAAAATTAAAAATGCGAGTAGGAGTATCAAACCTGAGGCTTGAAGATGGTAGTTACGCAGATTCTGACCAGGATAAAGCTGAGGCATTGAACAGCTTCTTTTCCTCGATGTTCACAAGAGAGGATGCGATTACCCTTCCTGCATTTGAGGACAGACGGTTCGACACAGCACTGACCCACATTGTGTTCACAGAAGAAAGTATAAGAAATAAGCTGTCAAAACTAAAGGTCCATAAGAGTCTCGGCCCTGACATGGTGCATCTTAGAGTGCTAAGGGAGTTGTGCAACGAGCTTGCACAACTTGCCTGGATGAACAAAAGGTCCCAATGAATGGAAAGTGGCTTATGCAAGTCCTATCTTCAAGAAGGGTGATCGTCACTCCATGAACAACTATAGACCGGTGAGCCTGACCAGCATAATATGTAAAGTACTTGAGATTATTATCAGAGATGCCGCAATGGAACATCTACTATGAAACAACCTTGTAAAGGATTGCCAACACGGTTTTATGCCGGGGCGCTCCTGCTTAGCACAATTGCTCAAGGTAGTGGATATTTGGACCCATATTCTGGATCGGGGTGGTAATATCGACAATATTTACCTAGATTTTGCCAAGGCTTTCAACAGTGTACCCCACTAAATACTGAAAATCAAACTGGAAGGGTTCAGAATTCAGGGAAATGTCCTAGCATGGACAGAAGACTTTCTACATGAACGCAAGCAGTGTGTGGTGATTAATGGCACGAAATCATCATCCGAACCTGTCACAACGGGGTACCACAGGGCAGTGTATTGGGCCCGCTGTTGTTTGTTTGTTTCATAAATGACATGCCTGACGTTGTACACTCCTCCATACAAATTTTTGCCGATGACGCCAAGTTATTTCGGGAAATCAATAACCAAACAGACTGTAAAGAGCTGCAGAAGGACCTCTATGGGCTCCAAGAATGGTCGAAGAAATGACTGCAGAGATTCAATGTCGCGAAGTGTAAGAGGATGCACCTGGGGCGTACCAACGGTAAGGAAGCGTATCATATTTCCCAACGGAATGAAGAAACTGCACTATTTGAGACTGAATGTGAGAAGGACCTAGGTGTGTATGTTGACAATGAGCTGAAGTTCTCGGGCCATTGCGAGAAGAAGGTAAATCAGGCAAATAAATTATTGGGTCTTATAAGAAGGTCGTTCAGATATTTAGACGGTCCATCCCTCGTAACGATCTTCAAGAGTGAAGTGCTTCCCCATCTGGCCCCCGATATATGCTAGGGACTGTCAGTTGGTTGAAAATGTTCAAAGGAGGGCCACCAGACTGGTGCCTGCACTTCGGCACCTCTGCTACCCTGAGAGATTGAAGCGCCTCAACTTGCCTCGCTTATACTACAGACGGGCAAGGGGAGACCTAGTTGAGGTGTATAAGCATCTCAAGGGGCACTACTCAGTCGAGTGTCCTTACTTGGAGCTGGTGGAAGCTCGCCCCACAAGGAGTCACAGCTCAAGATTGAAGAAGCCGCAAGTCAAGAAAACTGTGAGGGCAAACTTTTTTGGAGTGAGAGTTGTGAACTCTTGGAACAATCTACCAAAAAGTGTTGTGACGGCACTGAGTGTGAGCTCTTTCAAGACAAGACTTGACCAACACTGGAGCAGGTTCAGGTACATTCAGGAGCCGGTGCATGCCCAGTACTTGCCAACAGTGCGTAACAGAGACGTGACCGATTGCCCAAGCAGCTAACGAGCCGATCATTTGGTGATGAAGATAAAAGAAAAGGAAAAGTAACAGAAACATGACCAATCGCCCAAGCAGCTAACGAGTCGATCAGTGGTGAAGAGGATAAAAGTAAAGTAAAAAAAAGTATAACTAATAATAAAATATGGTCATGCTGCTTTTACCTTATTTTTCCACCCAACCTTAATGAATGGTGTTGTGACCTACTTCTTGTTGTGACACATTTTTATATTAATCGTGTTGCTCATATGTCAGCTATACTCCCAACCTGTCATCCACTGTAGGGCTCACGCCAAGCTTACGTGTGTACTGTAGATCCTATGATAAGGTTGTTATAATGGAGAGTGATAAAGTATTCTCTTATGAACCATATTATTCCTCACATTCATGCTCAGTATACTGGCTACCAATCTGAGGGACAATATAACTTGGAGGATTCTGTTATTATCGTTGTGAACACCAGCCACCAAGAAACACACAGTCCATTATGTCAAGATTATCTAATACTGTAATGATTTAACCTATTATGTCAGTAATGTACAGTCGGCCTTGATTGGGTAAAATGTTTCGGGAATTTATGAAACAAAACAGTTACATCCTTTCCCACTCATTATTGAGAAATGGAAGTATCAGAGCTCGATTGTTGAACTGTGAGGGTGCTTGTTTGAGTGTTAGTCAGCGAGGCACGGACAAGCCACCATCCGGTAACAGTGAGGTCGGACTTTCCACCTTCCATCTTGACTGTACAGTATCTAGAACCTTCGTCTGGAGTGTAGGTAGGAGAATAAATCAT